TCTTTCAGAGGTCATCTGTGATCTTGTAGAGGTCATCAGTGATCTTGTAGGGGTCATCAGTGATCTTGTCAAGGTCGTTGGTGATCTTTCAGAGGTCATCGGTGATCTTGTAGAGGTCATCCGTGATCTGGTAGACGTCATCAGTGATCTTTAGCAGAGCCATCTCAGTGCTGTGGAACTTCCGGTACGCCGACTGCAACGGCTTGAATCAGCCTACAGCAGCGACATGGGGAAGTAGCGACCGCTTAAGCCAGACGGGCGCTCTGGGACCTCTGAAATCGTACTCAGGTTTTAGATCGGGCCGATAGTTTGCGGGGTTCATTGTGGCTCAAGCCAACTTTTTTCAGGAGCGGTATAACCTGCGCCGTTTGGAACCGGTCTGGGAAACCGCCCCTCGCCGAACGAAAGATTCTGCCGGTGGCGCAAGCCCCATCCGAGCGTGATTTGAGAATTGCCGCATGGCCGTGCAATGAACGGCGACAACTCGGCCACCGACCTTGGCGACAGGGTCTCGGAGTTCTGCATTGGTTCCAGGTTTGATCAAACACAGACGGCAGACCGGGAGAATGCCGTTGCCTTCAAGTTAGCAACTGACGTCTCGAGCGTAACTATTTTATTGGTGAGGAACGTCGCAAGTGCAGTGCACGGACCGGGTTGACCAGTTGATGGGTGGCCGGAGTGCAGCCAGGACCCTTCACGAGCACGAGGGGTCGCGAGCCGACTCACTGACGCGCAGCGCACGGAACGATCTACGACACTCAACAATGATCATTATTATTACTCAACAATGAGTCGGTGGGCATATTTGCAGGCGGCTCTGTACGCAAGTAGTCGGACAGTCTCGAGACCAGTTTTCTTCCAAAGACGCTCCCAGCCTCCTCGGCATCCACTTCGCAGCGATCGCCTCCGGTGACAGCCACTCGCTGTGCCACTTTGCCGGTTTTTTTGTTGTTGTGTGCGCTCGTTTGAATGGGCACAAGTTCATCAAGAACAGCAGCGATGTAATGTTCTAAATTGAGCTGCAAATGAATCAATCGTCGATGCAAGATTTAGGGATGCTGACGATGACCGGATCTTCTCGCGGAGAGCATCATGGTCCAGTCGTTCCGAGTCCCTGAGTGATTTTGTTGTGACGGGTGGGCGAATAATCGGTAATGCCACTTTGCACGCCACGGGACTGTGATCGGAAGTACCCCCACGTGGTCGATAATGTCAGTCACAAATACGGCAGCGGCGGACGTGAAGACGTGATCCGGTTTACTTTCCGAGCCACATGTTTGTGCCGCTGACATTTGCTGGTTTAAACCGCGACTGTCGATAATCTCACCTCTGACATTTGCTGGGTTAAACCACGACTGTTGATAATCTCGCCTCTGACATTTGCTGGGTTAAACCACGAGTGTTGATAATCTCGCCTCTGACATTTGCTGGGTTAAACCACCACTGTTGATAATCTCGCCTCTGATATTTGCTGGGTTAAACCACCACTGTTGATGATCTCGCCTCTGACATTTGCTGGGTTAAACCGTGACTGTTGATAATCTCGCCTCTGACATTTGCTGGGTTAAACCACCACTGTTGATAATCTCGCCTCTGACATTTGCTGGGTTCAACCACGATTGTTGAAAATCTCTCCTCTGACATTTGCTGGGTTAAACCACGACCGTCGATAATCTCGCCTCTCACATTTGCTGGGTTAAACCACGACTGTTGATAATCTCGCCTCTGACATTTGCTGGGTTAAACCGCGACCGTCGATAATCTCGCCTCTGACATTTGCTGGGTTTAACCGTGACTGTCGATAATCTCACCTCTGACATTTGCTGGGTTAAACCACCACTGTTGATGATCTCGCCTCTGACATTTGCTGGGTTAAACCACCACTGTTGATGATCTCGCCTCTCACATTTGCTGGGTTAAACCACCACTGTTGATGATCTCGCCTCTCACATTTGCTGGGTTAAACCACGACCGTCGATAATCTCTCCTCTCACATTTGCTGGGTTAAACCACGACCGTCGATAATCTCTCCTCTCACATTTGCTGGGTTAAACCACGACCGTCGATAATCTCTCCTCTCACATTTGCTGGGTTAAACCACGACCGTCGATAATCTCGCCTCTGATATTTGCTGGGTTAAACCACAACTGTCGATAATCTCGCCTCTGGCATTTGCTGGGTTAAACCACGACGGTTGATGATCTCGCCTCTGACATTTGCTGGGTTAAACCACAACTGTCGATAATCTCGCCTCTGACATTTGCTGGGTTAAACCACAACTGTCGATAATCTCGCCTCTGGCATTTGCTGGGTTAAACCGCGACTGTCGATAATCTCGCCTCTGACATTTGCTGGGTTAAACCACAACTGTCGATAATCTCGCCTCTGATATTTGCTGGGTTAAACCACGACCGTCGATAATCTCACCTCTCACATTTGCTGGGTTAAACCACGACTGCCGATAATCTCGCCTCTGACATTTGCTGGGTTAAACCACCACTGTTGATAATCTCGCCTCTGACATTTGCTGGGTTAAACCACGAGTGTCGATAATCTCGCCTCTGACATTTGCTGGGTTAAACCGCGACTGTTGATAATCTCACTGCTGACATTTGCTGGGTTAAACCACCACTGTTAATGATCTCGCCTCTGACATTTGCTGGGTTAAACCGCGACTGTCGATGATCTCGGCGAGTTCGCCGTAGATTTTTACCACAAGAACCGGTCGGTCTTGGACAGTTCAGGTCACGGCAGATGATGCAGCGAGAGCTCAGTGACCCCCACACGGTCTAGCTGATCGGAAAACTCCGACCAGAATTCCGGCCGCGGTGAAGACGGCGTTCGATAGATGGCGGCGACCGTAAGCCCCCTCCCCCCACCCTGGCATGCCGTTTGTTATTTCCACAAGCAGCAGCAGAAGCAGCAGGTGCAGCCTCACGCTTAATTATGTCCGGTGAGTCATCATATACCCAGGTTTGAGTAACGGCCAATAATAATAATATCTCATCATCACCACCCTCTCATCATTATCATCACCACCCTATCATCATCACCACCTTATCATCATCACCATCTTATCATCATCACCACCCTCTCATCATCATCACCACCACCCTCTCATCATCACCACCCTCTCATCATCACCATCTTATCATCATCACCACACTCTCATCATCATCACCACCCTCTCATCATCATCACCACCCTCTCATCATCATCACCACCCTCTCATCATCATCACCACCCTCTCATCATCACCACCCTCTCATCATCACCACCCTCTCATCATCATCACCACTACCCTCTCATCATCACCGCCACCCTCTCATCATCATCATCATCACCACCCTCTCATCATCATCACCACCTTATCATCACAACCCTCTCATCATCATCATCATCATCACCACCACCCTCTCATCATCACCACCCTCATAATCATCATCACCACCACCCTCTCATCATCATCACCACGACCCTCTCATCATCACCACCTTATCATCACCACCCTCTCATCATCATCACCACCCTCTCATCATCACCACCCTCATCATCATCACCACCACCCTCTCATCATCACCACCCTCTCATCATCATCATCACCACCCTCATCATCATCATCACCCTCTCATCATCACCACCCTCTCATCATCATCACCACCACCCTCTCATCATCACCACCCTCTCATCATCATCATCACCACCCTCATCATCATCATCACCCTCTCATCATCACCACCCTCTCATCATCACCACCCTCTCATCATCATCACCACCACCCTCTCATCATCATCACCCTCTCATCATCATCACCACCCTCATCATCATCATCACCCTCTCATCATCACCACCCTCTCATTACCCTCTCATCATCACCACCACCCTCTCATCATCACCACCCTCTCATCATCATCATCACCCTCATCATCATCACCGCCACCACCACCCTCTCAGGCACTTCCTCTGAGCACGTGTGGCTGCGTATGGCGCGATGGGCAGTGAGCGGCTCTCTACTGTGGCTGCCTGGTGGGTGGGTGGGTGGCGTTTCTGAGTCTTCTTGTTTCTCACTGGACCTGTCGGCAAGACGGAGCGCTCTCGCTTGATCGTCGTTCAGGGAAAGCGCGCAGGTAACGATGCGCTCTCCAGAGATCATCGTCATCACGACGACGAGGCGGCGGCGGTGACCCGGGGCTCGTAATAATATTTACCAGAAGGGGAAAATAAATCGGGTTTTTTTCTTCAAACAAACACTTTCCATGCCGTCACGACGCCCGTCCGCGCGTTACGTGTGTGGCGGTAAGCACTCCCCCTCTCTCTCTCTCTCTCCCATGCGCTTGCGTGTGCGTGTGTGTGCACGTGCGTGTGTGTGTGTGTGCACGTGCGTGTGTGTTTGTGGTCACGTGTGTGTGTGTGTGTGCACGTGTGTGTGTGTGCACGTGTATGTGGTCACGTGTGTGTGTGCACGTGCGTGTGTGTGTGGTCACGTGTGTGTGTGTCCACGTGTGTGTGTGTGTCCACGTGTGTGTGGTCACGTGTGTGTGTGTCCACGTGTGTGTGGTCACGTGTGTGTGTCCACGTGTGTGTGTGTCCACGTGTGTGTGTGTCCACGTGTGTGTGTGTCCACGTGTGTGTGGTCACGTGTGGGGAGCGGTAGTGTAGCGGTTAGCGCGCTGCGCTACAAACCTGGCGACCCGGGTTCGATTCCCGCTCACGGCCAACACCAGTGACGATTATCTGAACCGGTCCCGGGCCTCCCCTAGGTCGACTCAGCCTCAAATGAGTACCTGGTGCGGTGTGTAAACATCGCCACTAGGGAGACAAAGGCGGTCGGGCGTGGTGCTGGCCACCCACCCCCTCGTGCACCGTTACCGGCCTTCATAGGTGCTCGCTAACAGCACTTGCCCCTACAGTCTGTTAAGGCTATATGGGGGATCTTTGTCTTTGTGGTCACGTGTGTGTGCGTCCGCCCCAATCCCCTTCCCCACACTTTCGCCCTCCAGTTCTGCAGATGAGGCTACAGCAGAGGCAGAGTCGGCAGCAGAGCCTCGGTGAGAGCCCCGCACTGCGTGAGTACAAAGTGACACCAACACAAAGTGACATCAACATTAAGTGACACCAACACAAAGTGACACCAACACAATGTGACACGAACACAAAGTGACACGAACACAAAGTGACACGAACACAAAGTGACACGAACACAAAGTGACACGAACACAAAGTGACACGAACACAAAGTGACACGAACACAAAGTGACACGAACACAAAGTGACACGAACACAAAGTGACACGAACACAAAGTGACACGAACACAAAGTGACACGAACACAAAGTGACACGAACACAAAGTGACACGAACACAAAGTGACACGAACACAAAGTGACACCAACACAAAGTGACACCAACACAAAGTGACATCAACACAAAGTGACACCAACACAAAGTGACATCAACACAAAGTGACACCAACACAAAGTGACACCAACACAAAGTGACACCAACACAAAATGTCACCAACACAAAATGTCACCAACACAAAGTGACATCAACACAAAGTGACATCGTCACACAGTGACATGAACACAAAGTGACACCAACACAAAGTGACACGAACACAAAGTGACACCAACACAAAGTGACACCAACACAAAGTGACACGAACACAAAGTGACACCAACACAAAGTGACACCAACACAAAGTGACACCAACACAAAGTGACACCAACACAAAGTGACACCAACACAAAGTGACATCAACACAAAGTGACACGAACACAAAGTGACATGAACACAGTGACACCAACACAAAGTGACATCAACACGTGAGCAGAGGGTCAGGTACTCCAAAAGCACGAAGAACAACCCAGAGCCCAGGCCTACTGATGGTATCATAGGCCTTGACCAGGTCAATAAAGCAGAGATGTAGGTCTTGTTGGGATTCCCTACACCTTTGCTGTAGCAGACGGACAGAAAATATGGCATCTGTGCAGGACCGCCCTTTCCTGAAACCGCATTGGGGCTCCGCAAGCCTCTCCTCAGCGTGCCTGGCAAGGCGATGTTGAATAATCCTTGCCAGGACCTTTCCCGGCACACTGAGGAGTGAGATGCCCCTGTAGTTGTCACAGTCTGTGCGGTCCCCCTTCTTAAAGAGGGACACCACCAGGGCATCATTCCAATCCTGCGGAACCCGTCCAGTGGTCCAGACTGTTGTTATGATGTCATATAGGGCAGTCTGCAACACAAACGCCATCCTCCCTCAGCATTTCGCTTGGGAGGTCATCTCTGCTCGCTGCCTTTCCTGGTCTCAGACTCCGGATCGCCTTCAGTACTTCCTCAACAGATGGTACTTCAGCCAGCCACTCACAGGGGGTGACGTCTTCCAATATTTGAGGCACCGCAGCCTCAGCAGGGTCATCCTCACTTTGTGCCACGATGTTTTCCTGGCTGAGGGATTTTCCCTCCCCCAGGACCTCACAGAAATGCTCAGCAAATCTGCAAACCTGTTCCTGGGGGTCGGAGATTGGATCACCGTTTTTTTCCCATAATGATGGTAATAGGTGTGGCGCTGCAGGTTACTTTTTTGATGGAGTTAAATATAGATTTGTGATCACGGGCCACTGAGGCAGACTCCATCTCCTCAGCAACCCGCGACCACCACCCATCCTTGCAGCGCCTCACGGCTCCGAACCTCCGAGCGAAGGCTGCGGTAAGCCTCCTCATTCTCTGACGTGGGATTCTGTAGTCGATGACAGTGGGCCTGTCGCTTTTTCTCAACCATCCTGAACACCTCCTCTGTCAGCCAGGGTCTCTGGGGAGGTCTGGACCGCATACCCAAAGCAGCCATTGCAGCTGCATTAGTCACAGTCCTAAACCTCGCCCATTTTCCCTCGACATCAGGAGGAGTCGGGGACGATGCCAACCCCAGCCGCAAGCGATGATGAAATTCTCGCTTGCAACTTTCATCAGATAACTGAGACCAGGCCACTTTAGGTTGGAATGGGGTCCTGGGTGTACATCCACCACCAGAGTGGAAGAATGGCAGGCGCATCTTACAGATGACTAGTCGATGGTCAGAGGGCAGATCAGCTCCACGGTAGGTGCTGGTGTCAAGGACATGGGCTCGCATCCACTGGTCCGTCACTATGTAGTCCAGCAGATGTTCTTGCTTGGACCCGGCATGCATCCATGATGTTGTGTGGATGCGCCGATGCCGGAACAGCGTGTTGGTAATTACATTCCCATGGGCTGCACAAAAATCTAGCAGCCTCCTACCGTTGTTATTGAGCTGATCTGGCCCATGCCCTCCAATCACTCCAGACCAGGTGCCAGCATCATGACCAACTCGGGCATTGATGATGACTCTATCCCGAGGGGCCACTTTAGCCAGCACTTGTGAAAGGAGGTCACATGAAGGCATCTGACTCATTGGCTTTGCCTGCATCCCTCCACGGATGTTCGTCTTCTGTGGGGGCATACGTAACCACGACCACCACTCCTCGCCTCCAGTTGATGGGAAGGCGAGCCCAAAGTAGCCTGGGGCTTACAGCTTCCCACACCTCACCGCCACGCTCCCACGCCCCCTTCATTCTTTTGTTCAAATGAAGACCCACACCCTGTTGTTTGGCAGTCTGCTGCCCCGAGTAGAGGACTGTCCACCCCTCATGGTGGCAGGAGCCAGAACCGGTCCACCGGACCTCCTGAATGCCACAGAGATCCAGGCGGTACCGGTCCAGCTCCCGACAGAGCAGTGGCAGCCTCTCCTCCGCAGTGAGCGTTCGAACATTCCACGTGGCCATCCGCAGTGGCTTTTCGTTGTTTCTGGAGGAGCCCCGAGGGTAGAGATTCAATCTCCTGGCTCCGCCAATTGGGGTGTGGCCAGGAGACGTCATAGACGCCTGTCCCCCCGGGGCCTCCGGCACAAGCTTATTAGTTACATATTTAATTCGTGGTTTAGTGGTAATTTATTGAAGGTGGAGGGGTTACCAGCCCCTCGCACCCATCCAGAGCCCGCGTTTAGCCACTGTGGTGGTCCCACACGTACACACACACACGTACACACACACGTACACACACACACGTACACACACACACGTACACACACACACGTACACACACACACGTACACACACGTACACACACACGTACACACACACGTACACACACACGTACACACACACACGTACACACACAGACAGGAGAGCGAGCTAGCGAGCGTGCGCGGTCACCGCGCTCCGCGTGTCGTTTGAGACGAACCAGCAGCGGAGGGAGCGCGGAGCGGCGCCGAGACTCCAGAAGGCGGCGACTCCGCTTTGCCGGCACCCCATGAGCACACAAAGACAAAGCTGCCCCGTGTAGTCTCAACAGGCCGTCGGGGCAAGTGCTGTTAGCGAGCAGCACCTATGAAGGCCGGCACGGCACATCGTGCCAGGTGCTCGTTTGCGGCTGAGTCGACCTAGGAGGGGAGGGGGGGGGGCATGCCCAGGATCGGTTCGGACAATCGTCAGCGGCGTTGGTCGTGAGCGGGAGTCGAACTCGGGTCCAGGCAGGGCGGGGTGCCTAGCGCAGCGCGCTCACCGCTGCACCACCGCTCCCCGCAAGTACCAAACGACGAGCCACGCAGAGTCTGCACGCAGAGTCTCTCTCTCGCTCTCAATGTGTTGACGGTCAGAGGAAAGAAGATGACGATGATGATGCAGATGCTCGGTGTAGTCGGCACTCGGCTTCGTTCATCATTTCGGTTTTTTTGTTTGGGGGAGGGTTTTTGTTTCAATGATTTTGCTTTCTTGAAGCAAACGCGTCCAGAGCAGGCTTGCAGGGCGATGTTCCGTCCTGAGACGTGACGTGCGCACACGGCGATGACGGAGGGATGGAGGGGCAGCTTGTGTGGGTTAGGTCGAGTGAGTGTGAATGTTGTGTCGTTAAACCCCGCCACCACCCGACAGCAGCCAGTCAGTAAGGGGTTGTCACGTGAACGAGACGCGCCAAGTCGTTACTAGTTCAGCACCTCAACGGGCTGTGTGTTGGAGAGTAAACCCACAACAACATTTACTATTATAGTGTAGTGTATAGTGTAGTGTGTGGGTGAGTGGGTGAGTGAGTGGGTGGGTGAGTGAGTGGGTGGGCGAGTGGGTGGGTGAGTGGATGAGTGAGTGAGTGGGTGGGTGAGTGGGTGGGCGAGTGGGTGGGTGAGTGAGTGGGTGGGCGAGTGGGTGAGCGAGTGGGTGGGTGAGTGAGTGGGTGAGTGGGTGGGTGAGTGGGTGGGTAAGTGAGTGAGTGGGTGGGTGAGTAGATGAGTGAGTGAATGAGTGAATGGGTGGGCGAGTGCACTAGTGGGTGGGTGGCTGGGTGAGTGAATGAATGAGTCAATGAAGGAGTGTGTGAGTGAGTTGGTGGGCGAGTGGGTGGGCGAGTGGGTCGGTGGGTGAGTGGGTGGGTGAGTGGGTGGGTGAGTGAGTGAGTGAGTAGGTGGGTGAGTGGGTGAGTGAGTGAATGAATGAGTGAATGGTTGGGCGAGTGCACGAGTGGGTGGGTGGCTGGGTGAGTGAATGAATGAGTCAATAAAGGAGTGTGTGAGTGAGTGGGTGGGCGAGTGGACGAGTGGGTGGGTGGCTGGGTGGGTACCGCTGTTGTAGAGAGATACCATGTGGAGATAGAGACAACATTTCGACTTGACAGTCGACGGAAGCCAGGCAGCTGCTGCTGCTGCCCAGTGGCGTGGTGCATCACAAGTGGAGGGGGTTTATTTCATTATTTTAGGGTTTGCCCACCGAGTGGCAGGCCCCCTGTCTCCTATCCAGAGGCACGACGCCTAATTGACTCGCGTGCTGCCACTGATAAAGTGCGCGCGCGCGCGTGGGGTGTGTGAGCGCGCGTGTCAGTGGGAGACTCTTAAGTGTGAGTGCGTGTGTAAGATAATGCGTGTGTGTGTAAGAGAGTGTGTGTGTGTGTAAGAGAGTGCGTGTGTGTGTGTAAGAGTGTGTGTGTAAGAGTGTGTGTGTAAGAGTGTGTGTGTGTAAGAGAGTGTGTATGTGTAAGAGAGTGTGTGTGTAAGAGAGTGAGTGTGT